GGGGTTTCCGCGATATATGAGAAAATAGTAGGAAGGAGATCAAGTTTAACTAGGGCCTAGGCTTAGGAGCCTAGGCCCACCTAGGATGTCGAGTAGTTTGTGCCTAGGGTGAGAGGCGAGAAAGTTGGAAAGGATGGTTTCACTATAGATTTCGAAGAACATATAGCAAAGGAAACAAATAAGGTGCACCACCAAACAAAGTTTATAATAACTACACTAACTACAGCTACAGGCAGTTACAAATATAAGTTCTGACACTCCCCCATAACTGCCTGCATCAGGAGTTTGTGCAGAATACAACCTGCAGGGGTACACATGCAAAATAATAAACAAGCAACAGCAGGTACTGCAGGCGGGCTAACACTAGCTGGTCACCCCCTCCATCTCCTCACCCTCCTCCTTCCCTTCCCCCACACTGCTGCAGGAGCAGCAGAGAGGGGGGGGAAGAGAGGAGAGGTGGAGGGACGGCTGCTGGTTGCCTCACACCCGCCACCCCGGTGCCACTCCCCCGTCTCCCCCACACCCTCACACCCTCCCCCCCAGCGGCAGCTGCAGCAGTGGGAACGAAAGGAGGAGGAGGGGAAGGGAAGGATACGACCCAACGCTCCAACACCCGCCACCCCCATACCCTCCCCCCCACGGCTGCAGGGAGACAAAGGAGGAGGGGGTGGGCGGGAAGAAAGCCGCAGAGCGGCTACAATGTGTCGGCGCAGGTAGGTCAGGGGCGGCTGCAGTGAGAGCAGGTGCGGAGAGGCGCGTCGTGTGCCACGGGGCGCACGACAGGTAAGTTTAAGGTAAGGGCACCGTCGTGTGCCTCGGGGCGCACGACGAGCAGGGCACCGTCGCGTGCCACGGGGCGCACGACGGGCAGGTTTAGGGCACCGTCGCGTGCCACGGGGCGCGCGACGGGCAGAGTAGGAGTCACTCGCCAACCGGGGGCGGGACAATAGAAAATCGCCACGCGCCCTAGGCGCGCGACCGGAAAAACGTAGCAGCGGAAGCATGAGGCGGGCCCACAGGCCAGGACGTAACTCGCTCTGATAGCATGAGAAAATAGTAGGAAGGAGATCAAGTTTAACTAGGGCCTAGGCTTAGGAGCCTAGGCCCAACTAGGATGTCGAGTAGTTTGTGCCTAGGGTGAGAGGCGAGAAAGTTGGAAAGGATGGTTTCACTATAGGTTTCGAAGAACATATAGCAAAGGAAACAAATAAGGTGCACCACCAAACAAAGTTTATAATAACTACACTAACTACAGCTACAGGCAGTTACAAATATAAGTTCTGACAATATACACGCACTTGCGTAGCGGAGGGGGCTCCTTGAGGGGGGGGGGGGGGGGGGGGGGGGGGGGGGGGGTAGTGTAAGGAATTTTCTCGCTATTCCTTACCGCGACCGTCCACATCGCATACAGCATCAGCCGTTGTTCGCCCGTTATTGCTAACGGGGCTTCGCCAACTTGGCGCGCACTATTTCACCAAACCTCGCACTGCTGGAGCAGCCGAGTCGGCCTACGCTTTGGGACTAGCCCGAACCTCGCGCCAGCGTAGCACTAGCTAGCTCGCATGCACCGCGTTACGGTTTGCACATTTTCGTGGATAAGTATTCGCTCATACTTTGTACTCATTGAACGCTCTAGTGCAATCCTCGCTACCTATAACACATAACACATATGCAAACGGGATTCACGAAGCCATCCCGTTTGTCACAAGACAGTAATTTTGACTTGCTCGAGCCTTCCAAGAGCAGCCACCCAACCTATCGATGGAGAAGCTTGGGTTTCCAGCCCGAAGATAATGCTGAAAGTAGCACAAACTGAAACCCTGGGCCGAGCAAACCAAATACACACGGTCCTCGCCAATTTCAATACCACCAATTTCACACCCCTGAGCAATCATTTCTGGTTTACCCGAAATCGGAGGTCATTCGGAAAGATTGGGCTTTAGGTAGAAATATGTTCGAGACTACCCACACGAGTCAGGAGGAAAACCCTAAACATGGTCGCAACGGAAGATCCAGTACTTTCGTTGCAGCCACTGAGTGAGATTTTCTCGCGATATACACTAAACAATGTCACGAATAGCCTCTAGTACCTGAATGTCTGGTTCCTAAAGTAAACAACGGTCAAGGGTGATTTAAGGAAAATCTCAGGGGACGTGAAATTGGCGAGGACTCGGTGTACCGCCCGTATTTGAACGTGGTTGAAATCATATCGCCGGCCTGATGTGGGGTGGTAGGACATAGAATGCCATGCTTATTGACACGGTTTACAGTATGATTACCTTCGGTGGTTTGCTACATGCAAGCGGTTTGAAACTGGTTTGGACACTGTTCATCGGTCTGTTCGTTGTGCAGACAGTTGAAGAACTGCCTTGGCAGGAATAACCGCACCCCAATTGAAGTACAGTGCAGTACAGTACAATACAATACACCACCATTGATTTCGGATTTGGATATTTTGAAATCAAAAGCGCTTCTGGGCATTCATGATGCACTCCAAGGCGATCATGTCGTTTTTGGGCATTCATCACAGTGTGTTTTCCAGGGTCACACCGGTCGCTCTTCGCTTCCAAATTGAGACATACAGTTCCTGCCTCTTAGCAAGGAGATTACTTCGAAGATGGGCTCTGTGTAAGTACGCGAATGTGGCATTTGGTTACGCTTCCTGCGAACCAGTGTTCACAGAACTGCCCAGGACAGTAAATAGACATGAATATTCTGAACAGAACAGTGGGAAACTGAAATCACTTTACAATTACATTACACTTTGTCGTCACGCGTTACTTCGTGGGGATACCGACGAAACTTGTAAGGGAAGTTAACCACCTTTCGATGCGTGTTGTACAGAATCTTTAGATGGACTTCCACGACCTGCCTGACACTGATCCCAACCAAACATGTGGGTTGCTCTGTCCACAGAACTGCCCCACTGAGCAAGACCGTTACTTGTTGAGTTGCCTTTTTAGCAACATCGCGGTGTTTTAGGCTGGTTCTGTCACGGTGTAGTCATATAGCAACATACGAAATTCTCAGGACAAGTTCCACCAGATTCTACGAATGCCAAGAGTTTCAACCTGTGAGGAAAACTGAATTTGTCGACACAACACTACTAACCTGGCTTTCGACACCTGGAGTTTAGCATTAGGTACCTCCAACTTGTCTGAGAGTGTCGAATTCGAGGTCAGGGTGGATACTACTAAATTCCCCTGAAAACCAGCCACCCACAAATCAGTTGTTTTTGTTCATGGGTCGGACCAATCCGTTCCAACCTCCGCGCCAGTGTCCCCTTCCCCCAAACCTCCCTCCGCAATTCCCCCTCCCCTTTCACCAACTCATAAATCACAATGAGTTTCCTTCACTTGCCATATTTACAGTTACTAGTGTCTGTCATAAAACCTGTCCAGGTGGCAAAATTCTGCTCTCACGGACAGATCGATCGCCGTACCAAGAATGAAAACCCAGGCAGGTACCATGATGATGCTATTTGTACACGAATTCGCCACAACCGACGACGATCATTCTCAAACCATTCTCCTCTAGTAATCTAGACTCCAACTCTACATGTGTCGTGCCCCGAAGTCGGTGGATTGTGGGCAGTTTTCTTGCCAAATCGCGTGGGCCATGTCAGATCTCCGTTGATGCCTTGCCCGAGGCGCGAATGCGCCGATGGGCGTCAATGCTGGTACGCGCGCAAACACCGAAAATGGCCCCATTTTTTTTTATCAGATGAGGGTCCTCATGCAACGTGAAACGAGCTGAACGACCGTTGTGGAAACGAGTCAACCGACGCATTGTTTCGGAGATTGCGAGTCGCAAGCTGCAACTTTACGAGTGATTTTTATGACGGTAACTCACTGCAACACGTCCGACGTTCAAGTGCACGCCATCATCGTCAGTCCAAGTGAGTGTACGTGCGATACGGGGTGTGTGCACGTGTGTGTGTGAGTGTGAGTGAGTGTGTGTGTGTGAGTGAGTGTGTGTGTGTGTGTGAGTGAGTGAGTGAGTGTGTGTGTGTGCTTTTTGTTTGTGTGCGTGTCTGTGTGTGCGTGTGCGTGTGCTCTTTGTTTGTGTGTGTGTGTGTGTGTGCGTGTGTGTGTGTGTGTGCGTGCGTGTGTGTGTGTGTCTTTCTGTGTGCCTTGTTTGCGTCTGTGTGTGTGTGTTGTGTGTGTGTGTGTGTGTGTGTGTGTGTGTGTCTTTCTGTGTGCCTTGTTCACGAGCGTGTGTGTGTGCTTCTATTAATGTGAGTGTGTGTGTGTGTGTGTTGTGGGTGGGTGTCTGGAGGTGGGTGTGGGTGTGTGTGTGTGTGTGTGTGTGTGTGTGTGTGTTGGTGTCTGGAGGTGTGAGTGTGTGTGTGTGTGCGGCTCTCTGCGGGTGTGTGTGAGTAGGTGCGACTGTGTATGTGTGTGGGTGTCTGGATCTGTGTGTGTGCGCGCGTGTGTGTGTGTGTGTGTGTGGGTGTGAGTGTGGGGATGTCTGCAGGTGTGTGTGTGTGTATGTGTGTGTGGGTGTTGGTGTCTGGAAGTGTGTGTGTGTGTGTGTGTGTGTGTGTGTGTGTGGTGCGGGTGAGTGGGTCATTGTGCGAGTGCGTGGATATCATCATCTCCAGCCAAACACATAGCCCAAAACCCACACACCCGTGCCTTTCTCTTCTCTCCCTCTCTCCCTTTGTATCCCTCCTCGCCCTGCTCGTCCCCCTCCGCTTCTCTACCTCACAGAATGAGAGAGCCCACCACACGGGCTGTCACGAAATGTCAGCATTCCAAAGCACGCCCGGCGATGATGTAGACAGCACCCCACTCCCACGCATCACCTCCAAACTCTCTCCACTCCACTGCGCTCCCGCCCATGTCCAATGCACCCCCAATCCGAATACCAACGCATTGCGGCTTCCCCACACACAGCACAACCACTGTTCCTTATCGCAGGCCTCTCTCTCCTCCCCGCCTCCGGCTCGCTACAAACCCCTGTCCAGAAAGCACCTGTCCTGTCCAGACCTCCCCAGCATGGCTCCAGATCCGCTGCCTTTAGCAACGCCCTCGCCACATCCCCTTTCCTACACCCACCCCTCTTGCGCCCCTCACTCTCCCCACTCTCCCCACTTTATGCCTCCTCAACTCACCTGGGATGACCCTACATGCTCCTGTTCTTGCTCCTGCTTCCTCCGCCATGCACCACCTGCTGCCTCGCTGCCCACCCACAAGCAGCAAAAGCAGCAGCAGCATCAGCAGCAGCAGCAGCAGCAGCAGCAGCAGCAGCAGCAGCAGCAGCAGCAGCAGCAGCAGCAGCAGCAGCAGCAGCAGCAGCAGCAGCAGCAGCAGCAGCAGCAGCAGCAGCAGCACGCGCAATGCAACCAGCGGCAAGAGCCGCACATGCTTCCCACCGCTGCAGGTAACACCTGCTCCCTCCCCCTGCCTCTCTACCCGCATGCCAGTCCGTTCTCTTCACCGCATCCAAAACAGCACGTTCGGACTCGAAAGCGTGCACACGCTCAGGCAGGGCGGCGGGATGATCATTCACGTACGGATTATGCAGTAGCGGCAGAGGCAGGAGGAACAGATGCAGTGGGCTCAGGAGCATGTGACATGTGGAGTGCGCTTGAGACATGGGCAGTAGGTCAACCTACGACTTGTGCTTGCCCTTGCCACTGCACCAGCCTGTGCGGAAGCAGCAGCAGTTGCAGCAGCAGCAGCAACAGCAGCGCATGCCATGGTTGCTGTTCCCGCCTGGCCGAAGCTAGTGCCCCTCCTTTTCACATGCTTCTCGCGGATTACCCTCCTCGTCCTCCCCTCCTTGCTGCTTCCATGACCGCTCATGCCAAAGCTCACTCTACCCCATCACGAGCCTCAGACGCCCCTAGGAACAGAAGGCATGCCTTTAGATCAGCAGCAGCAGCGCCGCCTGCATCAGCATTGGAGGCAGTGGGAACGAGCTTGGCAGCAACAACAGCAACACCAGCAGCACCAGCAACAGCACCAACAGCGGCAGCAGAAACCGCAGCATCAACAGCAGCAGCAGCAACGGAAACAGCAACAGAAACAGCAGCGACAGCAGCAGCAGGAACGTACGCAGGTTTTGCCGATCCATTCCCCCGGATAGCAACAGCAATAGCAGGCAGGGGAATGGCGGCCCTCAATCATCCAGCCCTACTGCGTACTAGATTTCCCCACACCCACAACAACCCCCTTTCCGCCAAACCAACTGCACCAGTCAAGCGTTTCCGGCTCGCCTCCCTGTCGTCTCCCAGAGTGGCAGGAAGGCTTTACTCTCACAGCAGTAGCGGCAGCAGCAGCGGTGGGGAGTCAGCCGGCAACACATCGCTCCATACCTCCCCGCTCTACCATTTTTCCGCTGCTGCTGAACCCTCCACTCACGCTGCTCCTGCCGCCGCCTTCCGCCCTCCCTTCGCCACTGCCGCTGCCGGCGCCCCGCTTTCCTGGCCCAGGGCGCATGGGCGGCCGCTGAGATCTCTTCCTCTTACTGCTGCTGCTCCTGCGCTGCCCGCACGCCTTGCTGGGGGGAGGGCTCTTGGGGCGTTTGAATCAGGTGCTTCTCACAATGTGCAGAGGGGCCTGGGAGGGCATTATGCGCGGTGGACGTGGGAGGAGGGGGCGAATGAGAGGGAGCACGAGCGGCAGAATTACTTTCGGGAGATGGAGAGGCGTGCGAGGGAGTGGGAGGAGGTGGCTAGGAGAGGGAGGGAGGGAGGGGGTGAGGGGGGGAGGCAAGAGGGTGGGGAAGGGATGGAGTGGGTGATGGGTGCGGGCCGGCATGAGGAGGAAGAGAAGGGAAGAGAGGAGATCAAAGCAGAGGAAAGAAAGAGGGATGAAGGGGAGGAAGGTGGTACATGCACCAAAGAAGCAGCAGAAGCAGCAGCAGCAACTGCTGTAGCAGCGGAGGAGGAAGAAGAGGAGGGGGATGCACTAGGCGAGCACGAGACTGAAACGGCAGCAGAACAAGCCGAAAAGGGACGTGGAGGAGCAGTAGGGTGGGTATGGGAGGGCGGGTTGGAAGCTGAGGCGGGTGCGGGCGATGTGAGCAGAGAGAGTGTGCGTGGTGTTGGTGGTGTGCTTGTTGAGATGAGAGAAGCCGAGACAGAGCTTGGCGGGCAGGAGGAGAGAATACTAGGCTCTCCTGTCGCTCTCCGCCTCTTGCAAGTGCATAGGGAGCAGAGGGAGGAGGAGGAGGAGGGTGCAGGTCGGCGGGCAGAAGAGGGGGCGGTGGGTGGGCGTGGGGTAGCAGTGAGTGGGAATGAAGGCACGCAAATCGGTGGTGGGGAATGGGCAATGGGGGAGGAGCAAGGCGGATGTGGTGGTACGCGTAGTGAGAAGGGCTTAGCAGGGGGGTTGGTGAGGGACAGGAGAGAGGAAACCGGGGTTCGAGTGGAGGAAATTTTGCAGTTGAAAAGAAGGGAGGAGAGAGAAGAGCGATGGGAGGTGGAAGGGCAGGGCAGGGAAGATGTGGCCAGGAAGAATAGGGGTTACTCTGAAGGCTGGCTTGGCAAAGCAGCAGCACTGGGACAAGGCATGGTTGCAGCACTGGGAGGGTGGGGTGAGACGGCTATGGAAGCGACACAGGAGAGAAGCGGGACAGCCGTCGACGGTGGGAGGGAGAGGGGGAAGAGGGCGAGAGGCGAGGGACAGAGGGGTGACGAGAAGGTCGCAAAAGCACAGACACGGAGAGGTGGGGCTGGTGATAGAGAGATGGGCATGGGTACGCATGGAAGCATGCTGGCAGGAGGGAGAGTGGAGATGGGTAGCGAGGGGGAGCAAGAGCATGCCAGAAGGAGCCTTCACGGAGCAACGGCAGCAGCACAGGACACCAGAGGGGAGGCAGAGGCAGAGCAAGAGACGCAGGCAGTGAGTGCAGCGGGTGCTGCCCCCAGGTGTTTCACCAGCAAAAAGGGAGTTGCACTAGATTTGCGCACAGACGCCCAGGGCCAGAGCACAGACGCCCCACCCATGCCCCGCCCACCACTGAGTCCTCTCCCCGTGCCATCTCCCCATGATCCCAGTGCTGATCCCAGTGCTGATCCCAGTGCTGATCCCAGTGCTGATCCCAGTGCTGATCCCAGTGCTGATCCCAGTGCTGATCCCAGTGCTGATCCCAGTGCTGATCCCAGTGCTGATCCCAGTGCTGCCCATACCCGACCATGTGAAACCGTTGGCCCGTCCCCATCGTACCCACCATGCCTGGTACCAGCACACACTCTCCACGACCTCATGGTGATCCGCGCGCTGCACTCCTCTCTGCTGTGCCTGCCGCGCCACTCCCTGGGCACGGCCCTGGGCATGCGCACGAGAGAAGGGCAGCTCACGTCACTCCCTGCGATTATCGTGTTTGTGTCGTATAAGGTGCACCGGCTCTGGGTGCCGGACGGCCAGATGCTGCCACGTCAGCTTGTGGGGCCCACAGGGGTGGTGTGTGACGTCGACGTGGTAGAGTTTTGCTACACGGATGCCCCTGCTGCTGCCACGTACGCTGCTCAGGCGTCCCCTCCCTCTTCTGCTACCCCTTCTCCTCCTCCTCCTTCCACTGCTGACCCACATGGGGGGATAGACATTGCTGTCACGGCTGCTGCTGCTCTTGATGCTGGTACTGGTACTGGTGCTGGTCTTGCTGATCCAGAGCCCAGCAGAGAGCGTGTGTGGAGTGCAAGGGAGGGCGCGGGAGAGGCAGGCGGGGGATACAGAAGGGCAGGGCGCAGCACAAGAGCAGCAGCAGCGGCAGTGGTGGAAGAAATGAAAGGGGCCGCAGGGGACGTGGGGCCAGGGTCGCAGGTAGCAAGTGAGGGCACATACGGCACGCTGACAGCGGTAGTGGTGAGCACAAGAGGCGAGCGTGCAGTGGGAGTGCTGACAAACAGACACGTGGCAGTGGACTTTAACCAGCCGCGCCAGGCTCTGCACCACCCGCTGCCGCCTAGTAGGGGCCCGGGCGTGCTGCTGGGGCTTGTGGAGCGGGCGGCTTCGTTCACTTCGGATAGCGCGTGGTACGGCATGTTTGCCACGCCCAACACTGGTGAGTGCGCGTGTGGGAGGGCGGAGGGGCTAGTGGTATTCTGAACGCTGTTATCACGTGCTGCTGGGATTGGTGGAGCGGGTAGCGTTGTTCACTTCAGATAGCGCGTGGTACGGCACGTTTGCCACGCCCAACACTGGTGAGTGTGCGCGCGTGAGAGGGACAGGGGGACTAGTGGTGTTCTGAATGCTGTCATCACGTGCTGCTGGGGATGAAGTAGCGGGCAGCGTCGTTCATGTCGGCCAGTGCGTGGTACGGCATCGGCATGCTTGCCACACCTAACACTGGTGAGTGCACGCGTGGGGGGCGGAGGGAGTGACCGTGTGCTGAATGCTCGTATCACATGCCGCCTTCTCTGATCACATGCTGCATGCGCTTATCGCATGCCCCCGCTCTTGTCACAAGCTGCATGCTCTTGTATCATGCAGCACGCTTAAAAAAGATGCGACACACTCTTTTTTTATGTCTTTCTTTAATATCTCTTGGAGCAACTCTGCCGCATTTATGCGAGGTCGCCTTCGAGGCGAGCTTGCACTCTCATCACAACCCATATGCCCTTATAACATGCCGCACACTTTTGTTACACGCCACACGCTCTTATAACATGCCACTCGCCCTAGGTACAATATTCTCACACGCCGCATGCTCATGGCAAATGCTGTACACCTCTAAGTACATACTGCACGTCCTTATTACTTGCTGCACGCTGTTCAACCGTCCTTATTACTCACTGCACGCTGTTCAACCGTCCTTATTACTCACTGCACGCTGTTCAACCGTCCTAATTACTCACTGCACGCTGTTCAACCGTCCTTATTACTCACTGCACGCTGTTCAACCGTCCTTATTACTCACTGCACGCTGTTCAACCGTCCTTATTACTCACTGCACGCTGTTCAACCGTCCTTATTACTCACTGCACGCTGTTCAACCGTCCTTATTACTCACTGCACGCTGTTCAACCGTCCTTATTACTCACTGCACGCTGTTCAACCGCCCTTATTACTCACTGCACGCTGTTCAACCGCCCTTATTACTCACTGCACGCTGTTCAACCGCCCTTAATACTCACTGCACGCTGTTCAACCGCCCTTATTACTCACTGCACGCTGTTCAACCGCCCTTATTACTCACACCACGCTGTTCAACCGCCCTTAATACTCACTGCACGCTGTTCAACCGCCCTTATTACTCACTGCACGCTGTTCAACCGCCCTTATTACTCACTGCACGCTGTTCAACCGCCCTTATTACTCACTGCACGCTGTTCAACCGTCCTTATTACTCACTGCACGCTGTTCAACCGCCCTTATTACTCACTGCACGCTGTTCAACCGCCCTTATTACTTGCTGCACGCTGTTCAACCGCCCTTATTACTCACTGCACGCTGTTCAACCGTCCTTATTACTCACTGCACGCTGTTCAACCGTCCTAATTACTCACTGCACGCTGTTCAACCGTCCTTATTACTCACTGCACGCTGTTCAACCGTCCTTATTACTCACTGCACGCTGTTCAACCGTCCTTATTACTCACTGCACGCTGTTCAACCGTCCTTATTACTCACTGCACGCTGTTCAACCGTCCTTATTACTCACTGCACGCTGTTCAACCGTCCTAATTACTCACTGCACGCTGTTCAACCGTCCTTATTACTCACTGCACGCTGTTCAACCGTCCTTATTACTCACTGCACGCTGTTCAACCGTCCTTATTACTCACTGCACGCTGTTCAACCGTCCTTATTACTCACTGCACGCTGTTCAACCGTCCTTATTACTCACTGCACGCTGTTCAACCGCCCTTAATACTCACTGCACGCTGTTCAACCGCCCTTATTACTCACTGCACGCTGTTCAACCGCCCTTATTACTCACTGCACGCTGTTCAACCGCCCTTATTACTCACTGCACGCTGTTCAACCGCCCTTGTTACTCACTGCACGCTGTTCAACCGCCCTTATTACTCACTGCACGCTGTTCAACCGCCCTTATTACTCACTGCACGCTGTTCAACCGCCCTTATTACTCACTGCACGCTGTTCAACCGCCCTTATTACTCACTGCACGCTGTTCAACCGCCCTTATTACTTGCTGCACGCTGTTCAACCGCCCTTAATACTCACTGCACGCTGTTCAACCGCCCTTATTACTTGCTGCACGCTGTTCAACCGCCCTTAATACTCACTGCACGCTGTTCAACCACCCTTAATACTCACTGCACGCTGTTCAACCGCCCTTATTACTCACTGCACGCTGTTCAACCGCCCGTATTACTCACTGCACGCTGTTCAACCGCCCTTATTACTTGCTGCACGCTGTTCAACCGCCCTTATTACTCACTGCACGCTGTTCAACCGCCCTTATTACTTGCTGCACGCTGTTCAACCGCCCTTAATACTCACTGCACGCTGTTCAACCGCCCTTATTACTTGCTGCACGCTGTTCAACCGCCCTTAATACTCACTGCACGCTGTTCAACCGCCCTTAATACTCACTGCACGCTGTTCAACCGCCCTTAATACTCACTGCACGCTGTTCAACCGCCCTTATTACTCACTGCACGCTGTTCAACCGCCCTTATTACTCACTGCACGCTGTTCATCCGCCCTTATTACTTGCTGCACGCTGTTCAACCGCCCTTATTACTCACTGCACGCTGTTCAACCGCCCTTATTACTCACTGCACGCTGTTCAACCGCCCTTATTACTTGCTGCACGCTGTTCAACCGCCCTTAATACTCACTGCACGCTGTTCAACCGCCCTTAATACTCACTGCACGCTGTTCAACCGCCCTTATTACTTGCTGCACGCTGTTCAACCGCCCGTAATACTCACTGCACGCTGTTCAACCGCCCTTAATACTCACTGCACGCTGTTCAACCGCCCTTATTACTCACTGCACGCTGTTCAACCGCCCTTATTACTCACTGCACGCTGTTCAACCGCCCTTATTACTTGCTGCACGCTGTTCAACCGCCCTTATTACTCACTGCACGCTGTTCAACCGCCCTTATTACTCACTGCACGCTGTTCAACCGCCCTTATTACTTGCTGCACGCTGTTCAACCGCCCTTAATACTCACTGCACGCTGTTCAACCGCCCTTAATACTCACTGCACGCTGTTCAACCGCCCTTATTACTCACTGCACGCTGTTCAACCGCCCTTATTACTTGCTGCACGCTGTTCAACCGCCCTTATTACTCACTGCACGCTGTTCAACCGCCCTTAATACTCACTGCACGCTGTTCAACCGCCCTTATTACTCACTGCACGCTGTTCAACCGCCCTTATTACTCACTGCACGCTGTTCAACCGCCCTTATTACTCACTGCACGCTGTTCAACCGCCCTTATTACTCACTGCACGCTGTTCAACCGCCCTTATTACTCACTGCACGCTGTTCAACCGCCCTTATTACTCACTGCACGCTGTTCAACCGCCCTTATTACTCACTGCACGCTGTTCAACCGCCCTTATTACTTGCTGCACGCTGTTCAACCGCCCTTAATACTCACTGCACGCTGTTCAACCGCCCTTATTACTTGCTGCACGCTGTTCAACCGCCCTTAATACTCACTGCACGCTGTTCAACCGCCCTTAATACTCACTGCACGCTGTTCAACCGCCCTTATTACTCACTGCACGCTGTTCAACCGCCCTTATTACTCACTGCACGCTGTTCAACCGCCCTTATTACTTGCTGCACGCTGTTCAACCGCCCTTATTACTCACTGCACGCTGTTCAACCGCCCTTATTACTCACTGCACGCTGTTCAACCGCCCTTATTACTCACTGCACGCTGTTCAACCGCCCTTATTACTTGCTGCACGCTGTTCAACCGCCCTTAATACTCACTGCACGCTGTTCAACCGCCCTTATTACTTGCTGCACGCTGTTCAACCGCCCTTAATACTCACTGCACGCTGTTCAACCGCCCTTAATACTCACTGCACGCTGTTCAACCGCCCTTATTACTCACTGCACGCTGTTCAACCGCCCTTATTACTCACTGCACGCTGTTCAACCGCCCTTATTACTTGCTGCACGCTGTTCAACCGCCCTTATTACTCACTGCACGCTGTTCAACCGCCCTTATTACTTGCTGCACGCTGTTCAACCGTCCTTATTACTCACTGCACGCTGTTCAACCGTCCTTATTACTCACTGCACGCTGTTCAACCGTCCTTATTACTCACTGCACGCTGTTCAACCGTCCTTATTACTCACTGCACGCTGTTCAACCGTCCTTATTACTCACTGCACGCTGTTCAACCGTCCTTATTACTCACTGCACGCTGTTCAACCGTCCTTATTACTCACTGCACGCTGTTCAACCGTCCTTATTACTCACTGCACGCTGTTCAACCGTCCTTATTACTCACTGCACGCTGTTCAACCGTCCTTATTACTCACTGCACGCTGTTCAACCGTCCTTATTACTCACTGCACGCTGTTCAACCGTCCTTATTACTCACTGCACGCTGTTCAACCGTCCTTATTACTCACTGCACGCTGTTCAACCGTCCTTATTACTCACTGCACGCTGTTCAACCGCCCTTATTACTCACTGCACGCTGTTCAACCGCCCTTATTACTCACTGCACGCTGTTCAACCGCCCTTAATACTCACTGCACGCTGTTCAACCGCCCTTATTACTCACTGCACGCTGTTCAACCGCCCTTATTACTCACTGCACGCTGTTCAACCGCCCTTATTACTCACTGCACGCTGTTCAACCGCCCTTATTACTCACTGCACGCTGTTCAACCGCCCTTGTTACTCACTGCACGCTGTTCAACCGCCCTTATTACTCACTGCACGCTGTTCAACCGCCCTTATTACTCACTGCACGCTGTTCAACCGCCCTTATTACTTGCTGCACGCTGTTCAACCGCCCTTAATACTCACTGCACGCTGTTCAACCGCCCTTATTACTTGCTGCACGCTGTTCAACCGCCCTTAATACTCACTGCACGCTGTTCAACCGCCCTTATTACTTGCTGCACGCTGTTCAACCGCCCTTAATACTCACTGCA